CAGGGGTGATTTGGTGATGGGAAACCCGTGGGGATTACAATTGAGATGAAAAAAAATGTGCAAAATGATGTAAAAATAAAATTTTTAATAAAAAACAAAAAACAAAAAAAAATCTTATTGAAGCAAAAAAAAAATAATAAATAAATTAATTAATTAAAAAAAAAAGTCTATCCCCCACAACAAAGATGTATCAGAACACATTATACACCTTAAATGTATAGAACTTTGTAAAGTATAGCTCAGTAAAAGTGGGTAGAGAAAAACATATTCCTAAAATTGAAAACCTAGTATAAAATTGACATATTACAAGATTTGTAGATTTTGTCTGTATCAGGATTTTAGGAGTAAAATAAACTGAGCAAAGGGTCTGACAGCTTCATTAGGTAAGTTCCTTATTGCCTTTGGTGATGGAGACCTACAAAAAAAAAATCCCAGAATATGAGCCTCCCTCATGGCCTAAGGACTAAGTCTCAGTGCTATCACTGCTATGGCTTGATTTCAATCCCCAGCCAGGGAGCTGACCCACATGGTGCAGCAGACCTCTCCTGTCCTGCCTGCTGCTCCTCTTAGCAGTGTATTTCAGTAGACCACTTATTCTGACCCCACTCTGCCTATGGTGAATCCTCTGTACCTCTGGCGACACCCAAGTTCTTCTATACAAAAAAAAAAAAAAAAAACCCAGATTCAACAGAAAAACATTTGTTCTATTAGCGTAGTGAAGTTGACCATTATAAATATGTTAGGTAAAAAATGAGTAAAAACATTTCAATTGAGAAGGAAAATGATGTAAATGATGTAAAAATAAATTATATCAAAATAAAAAAAAACATTAAACTGTCTCTTACAACTATATCTGCTAACGTGCTTCTTGTCTAATATATGCTTCATATATTAGAATATATTACTTTTAGAGATGGCCAAGTAAAAAAAAAATCACTGAGAAGAATGACTAAATTACTCAAATACACTTCTCAATAAATTTAAGAAAGATTGAAATCTTTCTAAAAGCTTTCCTTTGTTTTTAAAGGTGAATTTTTAAATGTTTATATAATGTTAATTACGTAAAACATATTAAACGTTTATATACTGCAAGGAAATATTCCTGTACAGTAGTGCTAGTAAGCAAAGTCACATCCAGCTGAGAAAGTAGCAAGAATAGTGTGTGGCATGGAAAATATTCCCATAAAAGCTTTAAACAATTTTTTTAAAAATCTCAAATTTTCCTGGGGCAGTGTGGTCCAAGGGCAGATATAATTTTATTTTTCAGTAGTCTTGCCTATAACTTAGTACATACAGATTTAATCATAGAACACATGATTATTCACACACTGGATATTTGTAAGCTATTGCTTACACAAATTAATTCTGTAATATATGGTGTTTTTATTTTGTAAGAGATTCTGAAAGGCAGGATTTTGTGGCAAAGGTGTGCATATTTGTAACTTCAAGCATGTCCCCTAACATGAATGTTACACTTCATATCTCCATGCCCTTGATAACATTAAATATTATTAATCTCTAATAATTTTGACAATCTGAGTGGGAAATGCTTTTTAATTTGCAGTTCTTTGTTGAGATTATCTTTTCATGTCTATTGGACATATGGATTTTCTTCTTTGTGAATTTCTCGTTTTTTCTCTGCTTTTTTTCCCCCAATAATCTTCATAGGTAGATACTACTTTTATTTCCACTTTTCCAAAGAAATTGAGGCTTTGCTTAAGGAGTTTCTCAGGTTACCCACTTAAACTGCAGGTTAGAGATATTACCTCTGGTAGACTGAGTACAATGTTTCTACAGCTTGGGCATATTTTCAAATTTATTAGCCTTTTGTTTTTATCTTCCATGAATACTTTGTTGCTTTTGCCTATTTTGCTATTTTTGCTTCTAATTTATTTGACAAAACATACTTACTATATGGGGAATATTAGTCTTCTGTGTTACAAATACTTTCCAAACTATTGCTTGTTCTTTTGTTTTATTTAAGTTGCTTTTCCCAGTATGTTTTTTAAAACTAATATCAAGTTTTTTAATGGGCTGCAGAGCTCCAAAGATTAAATGCAAATGGCCAATAGACATGAGAAAAAATGCTCAACATCCCTCATAATCAAGGAGATGCAAATCAAAACCACAATGAGGTAATACCACCTTACACAAGTAAAAATGACACATATTAAAAAAATTAACAGCGAATGTTAGTGAGGATATGGTGAAAAAGGAACTCTTCTACACTATTGGTGGGAGTGCAAACTAGTCCAACCACTATGGAAATTTGTGTGGAAGTTCCTCAGAATACTAAAGATGGAGCTGCCATTCCACCAGCAATTCCACATTACCCAAAAGATACAAAAACATTAATTCAAAAGGATACATGCACCCCCATGTTTACTGCAACACTATTTATTTTGTTAAGTAAGATTTGGACACAACCCAAATGCCCAAAAATACATGAATGGATCAAGAAGATATACATATACATATACATATATACATATACATATACATATATACATATACATATATACATATACATATACTATTAGGCAATAAAAAAGATAAGCTAGTGTCATTTGCAGCAACATGGATGGAGTTAGAAGGGATTATGCTCAGTGCAGTAAGTCAGAAGGAAAATGAAAAATATGGGATGGTTTCACTTACAGGAGAAATGTAGGAAAACTAAATAAGGAATGGGAGGGAATAATCTATTAAAAAATACAATGAAACTAAACAGACAGCTATAAATCAAAGACATTCTACAGGGGAGGGAGAGGGAGAAAATACAAAACACAGGCGGGAAGAGCACAAGGGATTGAGGTGATGGTGCGTGGGTGACTTGATGGAAATTCTATGGGGACTATATCTTAGATAAAACATATGCAAATAAAGTATTAAAAAAAAGAAAAATGTCTAGTTTTTCTAAGTGAGGGTAACAGACTTAATCCTGTCAACATGTTAAATTATTTCACTATGAACAGGAATACCTTTGGGTGGAGTGATTAGACATGGGTGAAGGGATAATTTCCTGTTAACTGAGCTCATTATCCCCCACCCTTTATTAATGCTCTGACTCCTTATATTAGTTACCTGATCTCCAAAGAAATGTGAGTGTTCAAACCTTGCATTGTTTATCACTCAAGATTCTAAAAAAATCACAATGTATTTGGTGTATGATATGAAGAGATCCAAATGTCACATACTGATTTGCTAATTTATCTGTATCATTTATGAACTATACTACTCTCTATGCATTACATTATTCAAATATTTTCCAAAATGTCATTTTGAATTTTAAATTTTCTGCTTCCATAACATTTTGGTGTACATTCTGATATATAAATCGCACATCTCTAATCTGACACTACATCCTTTGAAGTAAGGTAAGGATATGAAATTGATTGGTTTGGCCTTCTCTTTTCTTTATTCACTATTCCACATGACAGTTCCAATCTGTATTAATCAAATTGGACACTATTTGAGTCCTTTATTTTATCCTGGGCAAGTTCTCAGAGTCACCACAGGTAGGCTTTTCATATGAAAATTCCATATGCACAAAGTCTGATTCCCATTTATAGAGTTTAATGTTTAAACATAAATGCCTTCAAATTTGATAAAATGTTTTCCTTTGAAAATTCACCACATTGTGCTTTGAGTGCTTTATCTTATGAAATACTTCTAAAGTATAGTATATTAACACAGTAGCTAGTAAAGTATATTAATATAGTAATTAATGACAACCATGTTATACTTAATTATATAACTATATAATTGACCATTAATTCGGTAAGTTAAGTTAATTCGGTAAAGTATATTAACTCAAATCAGGATGTCACCATCAAAAATAAAGAACATATTTTCTTTAAAGGACAAAATTGCATAGGTTCATGTTTTTCTTTAAAGGACAAAATTGCATAGGTTCATGTTTTTCTTTTTTTTAGAAACCAGTTTCTTAAAACCAAATAGAAATACTTCTTAATGTGTCATTTAACAGTCTTTAAAATTAAATCCTCCTTGAAAAAGGAACTCTCCTGCACTGCTGGTGGGAATGCAAACTAGTACAATCACTATGGAAAACTGTTTGGAGGTTTCTCAAACTTCTAAAAATGGAGCTTCCCTATGACCCAGCAATCCCACTCCTAGGTATCTACCCAAAAGACAAAAAAACACTGATTCAAAAAGATACCTGCACCCCCATGTTTATTGCTGCTTTATTCACAATTGGAAAGCCATGGAAACTGTCCAAATTCCCAAAAATGGATGACTGGATTAAAAAGATGTGGTACATATACACAATGGAATATTACCCAGCAACAACAAAAAAGAAACACATGCCTTTTGCAGCAACATGGATGGAGCTGGAAAAGATCATGCTTAGTGAAATAAGCCAAAGAACAGGGAAAATACCGAATGATTTCTCTCATAGCAGGAATATAACGGAACAGGAGAGAAAATAATGATAATGATGAACAGCTATATACCAGAGACATTTTGTGGGGGTGGAGTGGGTAATGGTATCAAAAACAGTGGGGGGAGGGAAATGCACTGGATTTTGGTGATGTCACATGGGTCCATTTGGTGATGGGGAACCCAAAGGGATTGCAACTGAGATAGAAAAAAGCACAAAAATATGTAAAAATAAACTATTATACAATTTTAAAAAATTAAATCCTCCTTGAAAATGTACTAAGTGGAAAAAGCCAGACACGAAAGTCCACACATGAAATATCCAGAAAAGTAAATCCTTAGAGACAGAAGGTAAGATTAGTGTTTGTGAGGTACTGGAGGGAGGAAAGAACAACAGCTGATGGGTACAAAGTCTCATTCTGGAATATTGGAAATGTTCTGAAATTAGAGGTTGCTACAAATTGCTAAATTTTGGCAAGGGATGCCATTGTGAAAATTTTGAATTGAGCTTTTAAACATACAAGTTATTTCTGATATGAATAGGATCCTACAGGGAAAAGAAGACCTCAAATTTCTTAGGGTGGATTTTTTTTTTAAACTAAATTATAATATGCACATGGAAGCCATTTGCTAATAATACTGGGAAAGTAAATGGTAAATTCAAGAGAACTGAAAACCTACTGGGCCTATGAAAATAAAAACGGGGAAAAAAAGCACATCTTTAAACGATATTTACATTTGTTCCCATCTTTTTTAAGTTCAAAAGGTTATTAAAAAATATGGGTGAGGGGCTTCCCTAGTAGCACAAAGGGTTAAGTCTCAGCACTATGAAGCTATAGGCAGCCACTGCAGCACCAGTAGGATCCCCAGCCAGCCAGAGAGCTAAACCACATGGTGCAGCAGACCTGTCTTGGCTGATGCTCCCCTCAGCAGCCTATTCTGCTCCCCACTGTCTCTGGTGAATCCTCTCACACACACACCCCACTCTCATCTCTGGGTATACTCCAGCTCTTCTATGCATAAATAAATAAGATGTGAGCGAACAGAAATTAACATTAACATTAATGTTAAGCATCTAAAAAAAAAAAAAAGATTGGGAAGCATCTAAAGGACTGACTTCTGCCCCCTGAAGTGTAAGGTTCTCTCCCTGAGTTTTCTCCTCTTTCAGATGGGAGTGAGAGCCCTTACTTCAGGAGGTTGTGAACTCTAAATGCAGGAAAATAAGTAAAATTATTCAAATGCACTCAATGTTAGCTATATTATTGGTTCTCTCTGGACTGATTTTTCTTGAACTGCCTACCCATACTTTCTAAATGATCTGAGATGGACCCTGTTTTCTAAGATTTATCGTGTAAAATGAAAAGGTTTGGCGCGAATAAAAAAAGGGAGAGAAAGAGAGAGAGATCCAGTCAAAGTTTCTGACAGACAGGAACTTTATTGCGCTCCCTACAAAGTTCCCAGATCCCTGAGAGTCGGTCAGAAGAGACGCGCCCATTGGAGGACAAGAGCAATATTTTATAGGGTATCGACGGTACTTTTTAATTAAAAAAAAATTTACTTATGCATACAAGAACTAGGGTACAGGCCAGAGGAGCGCCGGAGGGAGGGTGGGTGGAGAGGGGGGTTGTTGCGTGAGAGGATTCACCAGAGCCAGAGGGGGAAGCAGAACAGGCAGATCTGAAATACACTGCTGAGGGGGGCAGCGGAGACAGGAGAGGTCTGCTGGGCCATGTGGTCAGTTCCCTGGCCTAGGATGGCGAACTCTTGCTGCAGTGACTGTGGCTTCACCGTGCTGCGCTTTAACCCCTTGCGCCACCAGGGAGGACTTCGAAGTTACTTTTTTTAGACTGCTGTGTAAGGTGGGCAGAGTTGGTTCCCGGAATGCAAGTGGCAGCAGTTTTAAGTTACTCGTTCCTACCCCCAGCTCGTCCCGGACTTGCCCTGACCTCGACCTTACAATAAAATAAACATACTGTCTAAATCATTCTGCAAACCCATGAGAAGGTGCATTCAAAGGCTAGAGGGGAAGAAACAACGGAAGGTACCACTCAAGTAAGGTGACGGCCACAGGGAACGCGTCCCCGTCCTCCAGGCCACCGTACTCTTCCGCTCCCAGAGGCCCCCGCGACGGAAGTCGTCACTCCGAAGGGACGGAGCCCACGCCGCGCACCCTGCAGCCAGCACGCCATGGCGATGGGCGGAGGCGGGGGTGGCGGTGGCATTTCGGAGCAGGAGGACTCGGTTCTGTTCCGGCGTGGCACCGGCCAGGTGAGATCGCGGCGACTGTGCCTTCTTCCCGCGCCGGTGGCGCCCTGATCTCCTCCGGGCTCCCACCTTCTTGGCATTGCAGCTCACTGCGGAGCCGAGATTCTCCCTGTTTCTAAATTTTGCCCACTTGCGAGTCTCTACTTCGAACTTAACGCAGCGTGGATGCCTTGCTGGCCTTGAGCACTCTGCCGCAGCTTGGTTGGTTCACCTCCCTGAGTGGGGCGTGAACAGGGGCAAGTCAGATTGAAGCACGTAAATCAAGTAGGATTCGACTGAAATGACCTAGGCTTAACTAGCTCGAGGTACTAGACCAGAAATGGATAGCAAAATATCTAAAATGTATTTTGAAATCAGAGATAATGGATTTTGCGTATGGAATCGATAATGGAGGTTTGAAAGAGGAAAGTCAAGAGTAACTCCTAAGATTATCCTGAGAAGTTGAAAAGATGAAGTTGCCTTTTACTGAGATGTGCGGAGATGGGGAAGACTGCAAGTAAAGTCGGTTTATAAAAGTTGGAAGTTGAATTAGCGCGAGAAGTTGAAGGGAATCGTCAAAGATTGGAGAGAACAGTGGAAGTGTCAGGAGTAGAGAGTGCAGAAAGTGGGGTCTAATCTGAGAAACTTGGACTGCTGGTTGTGCCTGAGAAACTGATAATAATAAAGTTAACTGGTAGCCCTGGCCACTACTACCTCCAAACAACAAACCACCAAAACGTAATAGGTCGATACAACAGTGATCAGTTTATTATTTCATTGTGTCTATGGGTCTGTAATTTGTGAAGGCTTTGCTGGGCACTTCTCATTCAGATTCATGTGGTTAAGGTCACATAGCTGGATTTCCAATAACTGGGGCTGAGCATCTAGGGAATGATACACTGTCTTTTTTCTTCTTGTAGTCTCAGAGTTTGTCCATGTGGTATCAATGTGTAGGCCGGTTTGCCTATACCTTTTTTTTTTTTTTTTAAGATTTTATTATTTATGCATACAGAAATGGGGTACAGGCTTGAGGTGCAGGGGCGGTGAGAAGATTCATCAGAAACAGAGTGGGGAGCAGAACAGGCCGACTGACAAAGTAACACAGGGGAGCAGCGGGTGACACAGGAGAGGTCTGTGCCATGTGGGTCACCTCCCTGGCCAGGGATTAAATTCTGCTGCAATAGCTGAGGATAGCTTCATAGTCTTGTGCTTGTATTTTCTAGAATTTTAGTTTTTCCAAACTATACACTTTATCTGACCTTAAAGAAGACTGAAACATGAGTTTCCCTTAAAGAGATCTACTTATTTTCAGTAAATAGGAATTAGGATGCATTCTCATCATAACAGAACTCTTAGAACATTTGCATAGATCTGTCTTTGGAGATAATGTTACATAATTTCTAAGCAGGCAGCTTCCTGTGTTTAAAATACATATTTTTAGTCATTGTTATGTATGGCGTAAGATGACTCTTGGTACTTACAAATACATAAATATATATATTTAATGAAATCAAACCAAATATGGATTTTTTTTATTCTTTACCCAGAGTGATGATTCTGACATTTGGGATGATACTGCATTGATAAAAGCTTATGATAAAGCTGTGGCTTCATTTAAGGTATGAAATGTTTATTTACTCTTTTCCTTACTTCCTCATGTTCATTTGGGGGAAATATAACTGATGACATAATTACTGTAAAGTGATATGATACAGAGTTATAATTTTGAAGGTTAAAAAGTAGTGTGTATTAGTTAAATTACGTTTTCCTTTAGAAATTGGTAACCTGTCATCCCTTTAAAGGGGGTAGTTTCAGTAGAATTTATGCATTTATTGCTTTTAATATTTTTACATTGTATTAAAATGTAGATGTCCTCTACTTCAGATTATGGAAAGACAGCCTGATTATAATTTTTAAACATTTAACAGATCTTTATTGAAATTATAATGAAAGTAAATGGCAATGGTTCAGCAATTAATACTTACAGACTATTCACCGTGTTCTAGACATTGCTTCTAAAATTAATGTCATCCTCTTCAAGGTCTGTGAAATAAATATTAAATCAGGTGTTCTGATGATGGGAATATATAGTTCTTTTAGGAGTAATAGTCTGATTTTAGTGACTTAAATGAAGTCTTTACACTGTTGTCCCACATCATTGCTTTATCCAGTGTTGGCTGTATTCAGTCTTACTGAGTACTCTATGTGATCCATCAGTTCTCCAGGCACAGAACATACACTGATAGAGAACAATGAGCATAGTGCCCGCTTCCTTCCATCGTCATTTCTGTAGCATAAAGATCAGATTTGTATGTAGTCCTTGAATTTGGTTTTTAAAGTTGTCAATAACATGCTTTCAATACATTTAGAAGACTGAAACATGAGTTTCCTTTAAAGAGATCTACATTATTACATTAATGTGGGATTACCAAGATAGTTCTGTAAAAGCAGATAAAAATGAGATTCTATACAGGATGATAGTAGTTATGTTTCAGGAGTCAGGAGACAGGAAACTGATGGTGATAAAAAATTGTTCACTTTTAGTTATGTTGAAGTTGAGGTACATGTGAAGATAAATGTTGGATTGAATTTAAAAAGTCAAAGCTTTGGAAATATCTCTGCATAGCAGTTATAGTTAGGAATGGAGGACCATAAGCCGATAAAGGATGACCAATTCTTATTGGGAATGCCCAAGTTTAAGACTTGGTCAGAGAAACAAATACATGGCCATGTCACGACTATCACGAGGAGAGATGATTAAGAATTTGATGTGATGGGTAGGTTAAAAAATAAGTAGATTCAATTAAAAAGGATCTTTGGAGTTGATAATCAGATTATCAGAAATAGTTCCTGTAATTTAGGGGTGGTGAAGTAGAGGCTATCTGAGATGGCAACTTGAGGACACCTTGTAGTGGTAATAGTTACTTTTGAACTTTTCTTTTTAATCATCTGTAACACTTATTTCTATTGTATTTTCATAGCATGCTCTAAAGAATGGTGACATTTCTGAAGCTTCAGATAAACCAAAAGGCACACCAAAAAGAAAACCTGCTAAGAAGAATAAAAGCCACAAAAAGAGCTCCACAACTCCCTTGAAGCAGGTTATTTTAAAACACTGAGAATTTATTTCAAAGGATTAAATAGTGTTAAATATCTGCAAGCTATATAATTGATGCAGGGTTTTCTGTTAACATGTAATCATACAATTTCTAACACATCTGCTAAACCCTCTATTATTTAGGAACATGTGTTAGTAAAAGTATAAAAAAGTAGGTAAAGAAAATAAATACTAAATTCAGGATTGTGATTACTTTGAGCCCTCTTTGGGAGGGGTACCTGAATTAATGGTGTTTTACTTCTTGAATTGAAAGATGGATGTCTGTTGCTTTTTTTCCCCTTCAGAAATCCCTAAATTTATTAATACCAAAATTTCTGGGATATTTTTCTGCCATTTGAAAAAATGAAGTTGGACGGTAAATATTTTGGTGTATCTAATTAAGTCAGTTTAATTTCATCATTTGGAAGGAGAGGAGAACAAATATTTGATGAACCAGGCCAGAATGTTTCCTTTGTTATTATTCTTCTCATTAGTATGTAGGTGATGAGGAAATGCCTCAAAAAAAAATTAAGAAACTTATCCATGATTATATAAATAGCTGACTATATGGCAGAAACATCACATGATTATATAAGCGGTAGAGTTGGATTGATCTTGGAATTCAGATGTATGTGTCTTTGGCCCATAGCCTTTTTCACTACATCATTCTGTAAGATCAGTTAACTGAAGGCCCTCCACTCTTGCACTCTACCCTGACCCCACCAAACAAGGCTTTAGGTTACCCTCATTGACAGAAATGTATGCATGTATTTATCTTTGGTTTCTTCCATAGTGGAAAGTTGGTGATAAATGTGCTGCCATTTGGTCAGAAGATGGCTGCATTTACCCAGCTACCATTGCCTCACTGGATTTTAAGAGAGAAACCTGTATTGTGGTTTATACTGGATATGGAAATAGAGAGGAGCAAAAGCTATCTGATCTACTTTCTTCAACCTCTGAAGTAGCTAATAATAATGCAGAACAAAATGCTCAGGAGGTAAGAAGGATTTAAGAATTCTAGAAGCAGGGACTAGATGGGGGAAACAAAAGCGTAATTAGTTGTCAGATTGAGCTACTGGGATAATTCATTATTAATCACATCTTTATTACAAAAATACATTAATGTTTTGCTTTTTAAAGAATGAAAATGAAAGTCAAATTTCAACTGATGAAAGTGAGAACTCCTCCAGATCTCCTGGTAATAAACCAAATAATATCAAGTCAAAGGCTGCTCCATGGAACTCTTTTCTTCCTCCACCACCCCCCATACCAGGATCAGGAATAGGACCAGGAAAGGTAAACTTCCACCCATAAAATAGCTAATAATGTTGGAACTTTCAAAAGTTCCTTTATGTGGATTATTGCTTTTCCTATGAAGCATATGTGGCTTTCAGTAGACATTATAAATACATACTTGAGGGTTCTTTGAAAATAAGGTGGTGATTCAGGATAGTTTATAATGGCTTTCCTAGCTACTTTTGTGAACTATCAGGATTTAGTCTAATAATTTAGCAAAACAAACTTCAGTATGTAAAAACAGAAAGCGAACATAATACTTAATTTTAATAAGAATAAAATCCTGGACCCTCCCTGTTGGTGCAGAAAGTTAAAGCGCAGCACTGTAAAGCTAGCTGCAGCTGCTTCAGCGCCAGTTTGCTTCCCTGCCAGGGGACCTCTCCTGACCCTCCCGCTGCTCCCTTCAGCAGTGTACTTTGTCAGTCTGCCTGTTCTGCTCGCCATGGAGTCTAGCTAGGTTGATGCCTGTCCTGTGCTTTTGTATAAATCAGTGAATTCTTAACTGGGTGGTGTGGTAATTCAAGCAGTAATTTTTTTTTTTTTTAAATCAAGCATGACTTAATCATCTTTCCCTAAAGATCTTAAGTGATAAGTTTCCCCTTTTTACCTTTTATCCTTCCCTTTTTTCTCCCTTCCCTCCACCCTTCTTTCTCCTTTTTTATTGTGGTAATAAGTTTACAACACTGTATAGGTTTTGTATTATCTTTCCCTGCCACACCACAAAATGTCCAGTCACTGTCTGCCACTGAGCACACGGTTCCTCTATCCACTCCTTCCCTCTTCTCCTCTATAGCCATATTCTTGTTGGTTATCAGGTTTGAATTTTGTTTTAATTTCACAAATGAATAAAATTATATTTTATTTTTCAGTTGTCTGGCTTAATTTATCACAGTCCCCTCTAGGTTTCATGTGTTAAATTTCTTATTGAGGTTTGTATTTTAGAGTTTCTAGAATAACCAAACCTCTTACTTGATAAAAGTCATGCTTCAGTGTTCTCAGGGCTCCAAAATTTCATGAGCTAGAGCTTTACTAATTTTTATACTATATGCTAATTTTAACTAAAAATACATCCATAAAAGATTACATAGTTTAGCTAATAAAATTTTGTGGAACACAGTCTACTGTGATTGAAATATATTGTTAAATAGACTGTTTGTAGTTGGGTAATTAAAATTATTTTTTGGTTTTATTCCCCAAATGTCTATACAGAAATAAGAAAAACCTAGAGTTATGATTTTGTTTGGTACATAAATTCTGTTACCATTTGCATGTGTTTAAAATGTCTATTATTATGGGAAATTATTTTGATTCTTTTGGTACTGAATCAGTTTTCTTCCTTTCATCTTGAAATTGGTAAATTAATACACCTTTGGGGTATTGTTTGTAGCCAGGTCTAAAATTCAGTGGCCCACCACCACCACCACCACCACCACCACTACCACCCCACTTCCTATCTTGCTGGATGCCACCATTTCCTTCTGGACCACCAGTGAGTAGAATTCAGATTAAACTTTGTTTTCACACAGTTTGTTTTTATCAGAATATAGGTGATTAGGAAATGTCATTTTGGACCATCCTTAAAGCTAGTTTCTAGTAGCTAAAAAAAAAAAAAGAACTGTTTTTAATGCCATTCTCAAGCTCATTCTTATAGTTCCAACTCTGAAGTCCAATATTGCCTTTTTCCTTCCTCGCACAGATGCCTTATTGAGGTAGCTGTTTGGAAGGATGTAATTAAACCATGAATACAATTAATGTTTTGCCCTTCCAGATATAGTTGGATATTAGCTTTTGATCACATAATCTAGATATCTAAATGTTAAGACGTTCAGCTATCAACAATAGGCTAGATATAAAGGTAAACTGCGTGTGTTGTGGGTGAGAACAGCACAGATGTTCTGCCTAAGGCATTTCCTTTAAATCCTGTATATTTTATGAGAAAAACCTTAAAAGTATTAATGCTTGGTCTTTTACCCATAGCTTAATAATGAGGGGAATATAATCAAAGCAAAAATATGGAAACATTTTGTGTGACCTCTTTTGTTCATTTTAACATTATTGGGTTTTGTCGTTTTATTACTGGTTGCCTTTCTCTAAATGTCAGATTTTAAAAATAAGAGATCACATGGAATCTAGGGAAAGATACAACTAACATGTAGGATTCTCTACATATAATGCATCTCTTAACTTTGAGTTTCTTGTTTAGTGACTTTAAAGTTTATTTTTCTTAATTTCCAGATGATTCCCCCACCACCTCCTATTTGTCCAGATTCTCTCGATGATGCTGATGCTTTGGGAAGTATGTTGATATCTTGGTACATGAGTGGCTATCATACTGGTTACTACATGGTAAGTGATCATTCAGCATCTTTTTTTGGCACTTACTCTATGGTTGTGTGACTTTGTTATGCTTGTGACCAAGTGGTTTGTTTTATATATATGTATATTAATATAGTATATATAAGCATATATATTTAAATATTTGTTTTTATTTATGAATGCATACAAGAACTGGGTATCAGCCAGAGATGTGGGGTTTGGTAGTGAGAGGATTCTGCAGACAGAGTTGGGAGAAGAAGAGGCAGCTTCACTGAAATTCACTGTGGGTGAGGCAGGAGAGGTCTGCTACGCCACAGTGGGGCAGCTCCCTGGCCAGGGATCGATCTTGGGCTGCAGTGGCTTGTGATAGTGTCATAGTGATGAGACCTAACCTCTTGCCAGCGGGAAGGCCTGGTTAAAATATTTATAAACATTTCTATCTCATGCACTTGATTGTAGTTACTAAAACTTAAGAGATTTTCAAAGAATTTGCAACTTCTCGTTGGCCAACAAAATGCACGTTTTGTTTCATTCATGAGTTCAAGCAACCAATCTTGATAGCAGCCTTGTCCAGAATATTTACCACAAATTCAGGCTAGCCTGTGACTAATGTACTCCAGCGGTCGACTTTCACTTTTAGGAATATTATTTGTGTATCTGCTTAAAGTAAAGTAAAGTAAAAGATAAAAGAATATGCGTATATTCAGAAGTATAAAACAACTTGTTTCCAAAATTTTACATTTTTGTCTCCTTGAAATTTTTACCATTATAAAGAGGACACATTGTCAAGTTTTCTAACTTCTTCAAATGTTTTCGTCATTTCCCTTGGATAGTCTTAACCATCGCACACATAATTGACAATTTTTCTATACAGCAGATATGATTTGGATTCAGCTTTTTTTCTGTAGAAATCCAAGCAAGAATGCAAATGACTTAGTAATAGTTATTAGAATAACATAACTGGCACTTATTGGTAGCAAGTAACTTATTACCTTACATGGTTTCTAAGGTATAGATTGCATTAAAATAGAAAGCTGGAATGTATTGATATTGGGGGAAAGAGAGAAGACACTAAGCCAGGACAGAAAGAGAAAGTACGTTAGAACTAGATCTGACCAGGAAAAAACAGTAACTACTCAGGGTTTTGTTTTTACTTACTGCTTTGCTTAGTGAGTACTGTTCTTTAATGGTTTTATTTTTTAATAAATGAAGATGATATATTATATATCTTATTTGATAGAAATAAGGTATAAGTGAATTCACAAACCAACTTGGCTAAGTAAATGAAGAAAATGCCCTAACCACAGCCTAATGATTGCTTTGGGTTTACTTTTAGTACATACTCAAAGGCTGTAAACTTACTTTCTGATATGTGTTAAATAGACTTAATAAAATGTCTTGAAACAAAATGTTTATTTGCATCTTTATAAAATGTGTATGCTAGTTTTAAAATTCCCTTATTTTCTTTATAGGGATTCAAACAAAATCAAAAAGAAGGAAGGTGCTCACATTTCCATTAAGGAGTAAGTCTGCTATTGTTATGAAAGTGAATCTTGCTTCTGTATAAATTATATAGTTTGCATAAAACAAACCATCTAAAAATCAAAATATTAAAAGGTAGAAAATTTAAATGTAAAACAATATTAAAGGCTCTTAGAAAGGCTCTTCTTGATGCCAAAACTCTTTGACAAAAGATAGTACACCCTCACTTGAATTCTCATGAAATCAAGTAATCATCTCACCAAATACTTATGGTTGCTGGTATGGAAAATCATTATCTTTACAATAAAAGAGTCTTAGAAGCAGTGATGGATATTTGCATAATTCTAGTCAATAGCTAGGCTGTATGTGTGGGGGAGAGAGAGAAAGATGCAGTATGAAAGGCATTGTCTTCTGCTATGGCCATAAAAGTTGAACTTCAGGGCCACTTAATCAGGTAAACTGTGAATAGAGCAATGAATTAAATAACACCTCAAAGAGATTATCAGACAGTCTAGAATGTGGAATGTTATGAAAGATAACTGGCCTCATTTCTTCAAAAAGTAGTAGTGTCCTGAAGGAAAAAAGAGTGTGGTGAGTAACTGTTCTATATTAAAAGTGACTTACATGATGGCCAGATTTGAAAAGCCAACTATAAAAGACTTGAGGATTGGGGAAATTTAAATCTGGACTAGATTTAAGTGCTACTAGAAAATTACTACTAACTTTATGATAATTAGTATAGATTTTATAATAAGAGTGGTAGTTTTTAGAATAATGTCTTTCAATTTGCATACTCTAGTATTTAGAAGTGTCTTAATTTTAATTTTAAAGTGATTAAACAAAATATGTGTGTGTAAAGTATGTATGTATGACAAAGTGCAGATTACTGACTAAATGGTGTGCTTTGGATGTTACACTGAATTTTATTTTCTCTAAAAAGGTAATAAAAATGTTCGGTATTTGTAAACTAAATTAGTAAAAGCTATGTGCTTATCATATTCCTTTTTCACACTTTCTACATTTTGGGTCCATGTTCATTTATATTTTGTGTGTATGTGTATCCCCACTTAACATCACATTTTTAATCTTTATATATTCTTTCTGGCAGATTGTTTGCTGGTAATTAATTACAGGCATTCTGCGTATCATTACTGTAAATATCTTCTTATAGATAATAATTTGATTCTGTTTTGTCATGACCTTAGGATAAATTTCTATATTCTGGCTATTTGATGAAAGATTGTAGACATTGTTATTAGTCTTGGTAGATATTTCCATATTGCCTCAAAAAGCAAATTTTTGAAAGACTTATTTTCCATTTCAGAATGGAAAGGGCTGTTCTTTAAATTAAGTCCTCATGTTGAAAGCACTCTCTAAGGCCCTCCCTGGTGACGTAGCTGATTAAAGTGCAGCATTATGAAGCTCTCCGCAGCCACTCCAGCACCAGTTCAATTCCTTAGCTGGGAGCTAACCCACATGGCTAGGCAGCCCACTCTGTCACGCCTGCTGCTCCTCTCAGCAGTGTATTTCACTATATCTGCCAATTCTACTTCCCCCTCTGTCTCTGGTATATCCTCTCACCCCTGTACCTGTAATCCAGTTTTGTATGCATAAATAAATAAATCTTTTATTTAAAAAAAAGTATCCTAGGCCCTCCCTGGTGGTGCAGCGGGTTAAAGCGCAGCACGAAGAGGCTTAAGCCACTTCTGCATGAGTTCAATCCCCGCCTGCCCTGGAGGAGATCCACATGGCGTGGCAGACCTCTCCTGACCCGCACACTGCTCCCCGCAGCAGTGTACTTCGTCGATATGTCTTTTCTGCTCCCCACTCTGTTCCTGGTGAATCCTCTCACCCTCCGCATCTCTGGCCTGTACCCCAGTTCTGTACAAATAAATAAATAAATCTTAAAAAAAAAAAAGTATCCTATACAACTTCAGAACTGCACTTCAAGGTATGGAGAATGTTATCACTACATACATGGTTTAGGGTCTGGGCAAGGCCTAAGAGGAAATTTCTGTTAGATCTCTCCTTTCTAAGCCCTGCCTCTAATTTAATTCTACCTGCCTTATTCTAAAGATTTTTCTTTAACAAGTAAAATTTCTCTTCATTTTTCAGCACATCCCTAAAAAAATGCATCATGCATGCATCCTTAAAAACAGAACTGCTTAAAATAACTAAAATTGGTTCCACTGAATCTAAGTGATATACCAGAGGTTATTTTGGTATTATTGCTTCCCTTACAAATTTTTAAACTTTCCAACATATTGTTTTAAAAATTATGTATTTCAAGACTGCTGTGGTGGCGCAGGGATTAATTCTTATCTCTGTCAAGTTATCACCAGCATGAGTTCAATCCCCAGCCAGGGAGCTATTCTATGGGTGGAGCAGACCTCAGCAGTATGTCTCAGTGGATCCAACTGTTCTGCTCCCCACTCTGTTTCTGCTAAGTCCTCTAACCCCTTGCATTTCTGGCCTAACCCCAGTTCTTGTATGCATAAATGAATATATAAATCTTTTTCAAACGATGTAGATATCGTAAATTCACAACTGAATTTTACTCGCAACAGTTTTCCTTGTATTCTGTAGATACATTCTGTAGAGTTCTTATTTTCTAGACAGTTTTGAGTTTTGCTTTCAACTCTGGAAACTTTTAGTAAATGGATTCAATTCTAAACATTTAGTAAATGGATTCAATTCTAGGAAATTAGGTTTATTTCCTAGTTTTATCATATAGTGGAAAATCTTGTTTGTATTGATAATCACTTGTTCTTTTCAACACAAGAATTTGAAAATCATTGTGTTTAAAACTCCAGTTGTAAAGATCAAATACCATGTGTTAAATTACTTTTAAATAAAGCAATTGTAATAAAGTAAAAATAAAACAACAAACAACTATAAACCAGAGACATTTTACAGGGGTGGAGTGGGTATTGGGATCAAAAATGGTGGGGGGAGTGCACGGGACTATGGTGATGGCACATGGGTGAACTGGTGGTGGGAAGTCCACGGGGATTATAGCTGACATGAAAACATGCACAAAAAGAATACTGTAAAAAATTAATTTAAAAAATTATTTTTAAAACTTGCCTGTTTACTCTTCTTGATGAACTTCAACTATCCCCTAAGCTTGAAAGTAGTGTTGTCTTTATGTTAGCTTAATTTTAGGCTAGCTTTATCATGATGATTGTATAACTTTGAATTCTCTTATATGATTTTATAAGAAAATAGGTTTTTAAATTTCCTGTATCTAGGAAATTTATCTAGACCTTTTTTCTTTAAAATTCAGGTGCAGATCGCTCCCAAGGAGACTATTTTGATGTGCCCTGGTTGATGTGAACAAAACATTCATCATTTTCTTCATGAACCAACTCATGGTTGGGTGGCAAAATCATCTGTATTTACCCTTGTGTGTGAATCGTGCTTTAAAAAAGCAACCAGGTATTTCTAGGAAATATGAGTGTGAATAACTGAACAATGGAAACGTGAGTGATTAAAAGAAACTCAAGATCACATATAATGCAGAAAAGTTTGTTAAAATTGCGATTGAACATGTTTGTATATTGTAGCATTCTTAGTATGTTAAGCTTTTTTAAATGCCTTTATAAATAAATGATAACTTTTTTTTAAACTTAGCTATCTGAATACTTTTCTTTGGATTATATATGGTGAGGTGGAACTCTAAATTTCAGAAAGAAATGTCTCAGGCTGATTGGGCAGTGAATCAAATTGTTACTATACATTTGATGGTTCCAGTCAGGAACCAAAGCTATGTTGTTTCTTCTTTTTTTTTTAAGACTTGTTTTATGTATTACTCATATAAGACTTGGATGTAGACCAGGCAAATTTACTGAAATACACTGCTGAGGGGAGCAGCAGGCAAGATAGGAGAGGTCTGCTGTGTCATGTGGCTCAGCTCCCTGACAGGGGATCAAACTCATGCTGCAATAGCTGCCGATAGTTTCATAGTGCTGAGACTTAGCCATTTGCACCACCAGGGAGGCACCTATGTTATTTCTTGACAGTTATAGTAACAGTCTTCTCTTTGCACTATCCTCATTCTGTCTCTTCTAGCTTCCTCTACGACCTTATCAGGACACTACCTCCCATGACGTTCTCTCTTATCACTACCTTGTATTTCTACCCAACATTCGTTTCTCTGTGTTCTGATTCTCAGGAGAGGTAGATCATATTGTTTTAGTGTAAGGACTGGTGTCCATGCATCTAGTTCACTTATCTTTAGCAAAGGATGATGTAAGTACCATTGCTTTCAGAGGTTTTGATAGATCTAGCATATTAGTAGCTGCCCAGAATATACTCTGTTAGGTAAATATTCTCAGCCAGATTAAATAAGCTTCACAGAATGGGACAATCTGTGGCTTAAGCTTTCTTACACAGAATGAGTGTAGTTTGATCATCTTTAATAAGACAGCCCATATGCCCATATTTTATATGTTTTAACAGCCTGAGTATGTGCCAGATTAAATATAGTATTGATGTTACCTCTGTTAATACCTAAAATAGTTGGAAAGAGATGGTAGATTCACCCAGCAAATAATTACTCACTTTTGGTGTCTATGTTAAGCACTCTTCTAGGTGCTTGGGAAGAAGGAATTAACAGAATTGATTAAATTCCTGCTCACAGTGGTGAGAACCAGACAGTAAACAAGTGAAATGTGTAAGCTGGCAGGTGGTGGTGCTGCCAACAGAGAAAAAAGAATTGGGGGAAGAGGTTTAGGAAATGACAGAGGCAAAGGAAATGACAAGTCCATTTTTAGTATATTCAGCAACAGCAAATAAACCAGCTGAAGTGGAAGAGATTACGGAGGTGAGGTAAGGGAAGTCAGAACATAGGTAAGCCATGGTAAAGTCTCCAGCATTTGCCTGAGCTGAGGGTCCAATAGCAGCTTTTGAAGCAAAGGTGTAGCACAATCCAGTTTACAAAAAGATTGTAAACTGATAGCTCATGGTTGAAAATAGATCACAAGTTTCAAGAGAGGAAGCTGGCTAACTAGTTAGGACAAGTGGGTAGTGGTGTTTGGATCTGAGTGTATTTTGCAAGTAGAATTCAGGACTTCCAAATAGGTTACTTGGGGAAAGGATGATTCCCAAGGTTTTTAGCCTAAGCAAGTTTGAAGAATAAAGCGGGAATTTAAAGAGATCAAAAAATCTGCATAAAGAATATTTATGGAAAGAGGTTAAGATTTGGACATGTGAAAGTTGAGATACCCACTGGAATTAGATATGAGTTAAGAGGAGAGGTCTAGGCTAGAGGTATAAATTAAGAATTGTGTGGACATGGGATTCAATTAAATTCATTCACCAAGATAAGATAAAATGTCAGAATGCCAGGGTACTCCCAACATTCAGAGATTAGATATGAGGAGCTGTAGAAGAGACTGAGGCAACTCTCAGAGTTTAAAGGAAACCTGGGAGGGATACCATGGAAGCCAAACTAAGAATATTTTGAGGAATGATAGACCAAATCAAAGCTACCCTTAGGTCAGATTGCTGCCAACAGTCAGGCAGGATGACACTGGGAAGTATTAGTGAGTTTAGCAATGTGAAGATTGTTGGGTCACCCTTAAAAGACTTGTTTTGGTGGAATGTAAGAATAAAAAGCCTGGTGGGAGAATATCAAAGAGAACATGTGGAGACAGCAGATTAAACACATCTGTAAGGAATCTTGTATTTCTGAATTTTTATTATACATACTTGGGTTTCAGTGAAGTCATATCTGTTAGAGCTTTATTTTGTAAAGTTATTTTGTGAAGCCTATTTCAGTTGTATATATGTATCTAAGTGCAAGTATATGTTTTTACACAGAGCATATATTTTAAACAAATGGGATACTACTATACATGTTGATCCTATCTGTGACTTAGACTTAAGGGAAGTTGGAAGACAAATTTTGACCTTGGTAAAAATAAAAGGTAGTGTAAAAGAATGTTTTCTAATTTATACTAACATCGTGAATTGGAAATGGCTGGCCTTCCAGCCTTTGAAAAATCTACACTTAATGATAGAAATGGACACTGATATAGACTTTGACTGCAGAAGTGATACTTTGAGCAATATGAAATCACTGAATATCAAAATCTTTTTCCCTGAGCAAATTGTATTCATAAGAAAATTTTAATGCCATTAAATGTGTATGTTGAACTCTCAGACATGTGGTTATCTAAAATACCCAGTATTCTAGAGAATAAAAATTTAGCTGAATTCTGTTCTGCAAGTTTTGCTCATGTAATGCATTGAAACAAAATCTCTGAAACAAGAGCGTTTTCTTCTACTTTCTTCTTAACATTGGCAGTAGATATTAAATAATATACAGGTTCTATAAAGATTAAAAACTCTCTTGGCCTACAACAGATCCATTGGGACTCTGTTCTTGTAAACTCATTTTACCTATGTGAGATAGATGCAATCCTTAAAGTAGCCATTTTATATATACCTTGAATATTTCTTCCATATGTTGATCGTAACATTGGTCAGTGCACCGCTCCCTAACTTTTCCCTGTAGCACAGTTAACCTCACCTTGAAGCTTTACTCTAGAAATAGACACTTATTTGTATAAAGCCAATTGAGGAGCTGAACTTTAGATGGGGAAGGACATTCAGAGATTTCAGATGTGTTGTAATAATCTATTTTTTAAACCTCATCAATTGATAAGCAGTTGGGAGGTTCAGAGGTTTTTTAACTAAACATTTTAGAAAAGTTCTTTATATGCAGTATTACTACTGTGTTGGATAATTGGATTTTTAGAATTGTTGACAAAAATTTTCTTGATTGAGCAGTTTTTTGCTACTGAAATATTCTACTTCTGAATGATTGGATCGAATGGCAGTATCCATTTCCATTCTATAATTAAGCGTTTAGATTTAGGATGTCTGTCTTTCATGGCAGTAAGTACTGTGATGTCTTCTGAATCCAGGAGCCAACTTAACATACTAAGTCTGGTGAGGCTTGGCAGTCGTGATACACACTGACTCAAAGACTTGACCGTTGAAGCTTGTGTTTTGAAACATTCCGTGAAATGCCTAGAAATAATCAACTCCTGCAATTTGGGCAGGTTGTCCAGTGTTTGAAAGAAATTTCTATATCCTTCTTCTGTGATTTTGTGATTCATTGGAAGATCTAAGATCTCAAGATTCTGGAAGCATCCATTGATTGCTACCTTGGCTATAAAAACAACAGATTATGAAAACATTATTATAAGGATGTCTCAGTTATGGTAGATAGGTTCTTTGATCCAACCTACTTTCCCTACAATCACCAAAAGTAGAAAATGCTTCAATATTTTCTAAATATCTCTCGGATTTCCAGAATGACACCACTAAGTCATTTCTTAACTGTCCCTCAAAAAAACGAAATGTTAGGTCAGTATTCAGAACAAGACAACACTGAATGAATCCTACAACATTGGGGTGACCTGTAAGCACTCTGCACGAATGCAATGAAGACAGACTACATTAGGACACTGGATTGATCCACACATTTGTATGATGGCAGGCAGGTAAAAAAGGACACATACAGTTGGCAGTCTGGGGGAATTCTACCAGAACTATTGATGCATGGGGGTCATAAAATAAAGGAGGCATATTTGTTCCCAGAGGTAAAAATTCCATCAGCAGCCAGGGCTGTAGCATAGTGTGGAGTCGAGGACCTGTGGTGCTTGGGGACTAGGGCCACAGCCTGAGGGCAACAGAGAAGGAACACTAGACAACAGCATCCCCTCTGCGCCACTTTTAGGATCTGTGCAGGTACCCCTCTTATAAACACTGTAGCCACTCACCCACCATACCCTGGCTGCCTGTAGAACCTACAGCAGCCAGTGGTAACCAAACACTAGTTATTTGCTTACCAATTTCTAATATGCTGTCATCATCCAAATTCAGGGAAAATGAGAGAACCCGGAGACATCGAAGATGCTGACACTGCTGGATAATCAGTTTGGCAACTTGATGAATCCCATCTCCATTAGGAAGGAGCAGTTCTTCCAGGTTACAAAGAGAACCTAAAGCATAGGCTATCAGAAGAAACAGCAATGTAATCTTCTACAAAGTCAAGCACCATCTAGAAGGCCCTATGTAGCATACAGGCTGTTCTTCCTTGAGGGCAAGAGAATGGTCTTCACCTTGATTGTCTGCTACTTTTAGGCAGTATTTCCCAACACTCTCTCCTGTGCTGAAGTCCACAGGTCTTCAGTGTCTTCACTCCTGATGGTTGCCATCAAACCTGGATCTCTTTAGTGACCTACCTCTGCCTGACTCTAGTACTAAATCCTCAATCACTGTTCTCCTAGCTTTCTTCACACTTTGATCTCTCCTTAGCATTGTACATTATTCATCAATTGCTAAATCCCCTAGGAAACTTTCTACTTCTGAGGCCTCAAACCTGGAAATGTTTAGAATACATTTCCTCTAGGATAAAACAATGAACCAGGCTTATCTTTTGTTTTCCCCATCCCAGTTCTTATATCAGTCATTTCTCCAAGGAATAAGTTCCTTTCAGGGAAGCTCTGGGTAGCTGGTGTGCCCATTAGTTCTAGGGTGCTTTGTAGGCCCTTGATTAACTGAGTTGAGAACTATGTATGTGTGTGTGTAGGAACATTGAGGGACACACATTTCTACATATGTATATAGATTTAATTATACAAGTTAAAGCCATGGTTCCACCTTTTTCCAATTCCAATTCTGGTATATAGGTGTACCTATATCCCAGAAACCTTTCAAACAACTGTTACATAACATGTTTGGAATAGTTATCTGACCATGGAATTATGTAATGCTATACTGATTATATCGTAATAAGTTAGACAACCTTGCTTTGAGTGAGATCAGGTAATTGGATCTTCCTCCTAATACATGACTTGTTGTTGTGTAAGATAGTCGCCTCAAAAGGATGAGGCAGAGTTTTCTCATTAGGATTAGTGTAGGCCTCTTGTCACCTTGGTGTAGGAACTAGAGGTCAGTCAAAGTCCACCAAGCCAAGCCTTTTCTGTGAAGGCTTCAAGACTAAGAGGTTTCTGTTCTTTTCCAAGTCTTTCACTTAAAGAAGAAATATGTATATCCTAAACTTCTAAGAAGAAGTTATCTCAATCTAAGAATCTATCTTTATTCTCAGAGTAAGTATGAGTTCATTTCCCTTCTTGTCTGTCATGTGAAGCCTTCCCCACTGTGTCCTTAATGCTCAAGATCCCAAAATACATGATAAATATCGCTGGTCTGCTCAATTCTATAGCATTTACAGCCATGTAAATTCAGTTTCTAAACATATTAAGTTGATTGTTTTCCTCACTAACCCATGTGATACTATTTTGATTACTTTTCCAGTCAGAAGGACTCAGAGTGGGGGTAATTTCTCTTTTGTGTCCTCCCCCACACACTCAATAGCTAATTAATACGAAATAAGAATTGGAGGATTGAGGAGAAAGAGTAAATAGAAGGCACTATTTTGTAAACATACCAAATTTTTCCGATGATTCCTTATCATTTATTAGTTGGCTTTTAAGGTTTAATATCTTGAGAGAAGTGAGGCTTGGCAAAGGAATGACTATAAAAGAAAAAAAGTAAAATTGAATTATGTCAACCACATCTGTTACCAAAAAGTAATTATGTTCAAAGGGTATTTCTAAATTAATAAGAAATTAATATAATAACTCAGATTGAAGTAATTAACTTGACTAAATAGAGTTTTTTCAGGAAATCTGATTATGAAATTTTTACTTCTGGAAACAAATATACCTCCTTTATTTTAGAATTCCTTTGTACATAGACACAGATTACCACAGTTTTGTACTTTAACATAAATTGCATTTTCAAAATTTTTTTATAAGTGTTTAAAATTAATGTGTGTCCACAGAAACATACTAAACCAAAACATTACAATTATAGCTCTTACCAAAAGGGAGGGGCTTAAAAAATGGTCCAGAAAACTTAATTTCTTGGAGTTTCTTGCAGGAGGCAAGTGCAGTCATGAGAGACTCAAAATCCGAAAAGACATGACATTTCAGGTGTAACACATGAAGGTTTGGGGAGTTCTGAATTAATTTGACTGTAAAATATCAAATATGTCAGAAATTTGAGATTAAAAGTTTCTATCAGAATTAGCCATGTAATTTATCATTCTGTCTCAAGAATACCATATTAAAACAAAGCACCAACATAGTGATCCAAGAATCAGGGGTTCAGTTCAGGTTCTGCAACTAACTAGTGAGCTTTGTGAACTTGGACAGGAACAGAACACTGCCTAGGAATCAGTTTTCTGTAAAATAGGGCATTGATGCAGATCACCTTCCCCTTTAACATCCTATGTTTGCACATGACATTTACACAATTGAATACCATAGAAAGAAATGTAAAGGCAGTGACAACTTTGAAGCAAAAACTAAGCTGATGCCCAGATGCAGGAAAATGAAACAGTATCACATCTAACTTCAATGATTTTTTTTTTTTTGCATCGGACTCTGCATTGTCAAATCCATTGCAATTTACATTTCCTAGGCCTCCAGTGTTCAGTTGTTACTAAAGTAACAGACCAATAATACCTAAATCATTGAGAAAGATGGCTGCACAAATTGTCTGTCAACGATGAGGGCAAGCTAGTGAAAAATCAACAAATACTTCTGATGGATACCAACCCACAATTTCATTCCCCTGATCTGGCACACTTCTAAGTTGCAATGTGAGCTGTTTTAAAAAATACAAGATAAAAGAACTCTATAAACTATTTTGGAAAGGCAGTATACCATGGTCCAAAGCTTCGACTTATTTCTCCAAACTCCAGATCTACCACTTCCTTAACTGGGTAACCTTGTGCAAATTATTTATCACCTCTTTATATAATCCTCAATTTCCTCCCTCTAAAAGGAGAATAATAGTACCTTGCCTCATAGTGTGAAGATTAAATGAGCAATGCTTAAAACAATTCCTAAGCATATAGTATGGGCTCAAAAATTACACATTGCTTTTTTCTTGCTTACTGAGAAAGAATGCCATTCTCACAGTTTATCATGGATATCTACACCCTCAGATCCACAGAAGCTTTGTTGGCCAGGTAGCTTTTCCAAATGATATGAAGTCGAAATGTCACCTTACCCAGCTTCGAAGGCCCATACTCAGCTGAAATTTGGATCACTAATTTTTCCATATGTTGGAAATTCAGGAATTCTTCTGGAACAACTGTAAAAACATTGTCTTTTTTATCCAGGTTCAGAGACAGTTCTTTTAGGCATGGAAACTTGTCCAAATTAGGAAGGAGTTGATCTAGAAAGCAGCAACAATATCCATTAATCTAAAGAGCTCCAAGAAAAAATTAGAAACTCATTTTGATTCACGAAGCTATATATTATCAAATAAAAACCTTTCACGCATTAAAGAAGGTTATCTATGGAGATACTGCTTTTTGCTGTATTTACTGGTTACTACACAGGAAGACCTCTTTTACTCTGGATGAACAAAAATATCTCCTCAATGAATAGTGCTGAGACAACTGGATTTCAGCATGCAAAAGAATGAAGGTGGACCTTACTTCCCTAACTCAAAATGGATCAGCAACCTAAAAAACTAAAAACCATACAACTCTTAGATGCAAACATAGGGATAAAACCCCATTGGATTTGACAATGAATTCTCAGATATGCTACCAATGCAACTGGCAAAGAAAGAAAATATAAATCAGACTTAGGTGAAAATATAAAACTCAGGTGCACTGAGTGATAGTTACAGAAAACAAAAGACAACCTATGATATAAAATATTTTCAAATAATGGCCAGTTAGGATTTAGAGTTAAGACTATACAAAGAGCTCTTGCTGGTTAACAGCAAATAAACAATTCAATCGAATACTGGAAAGAGGACTTAATAGATTGTCGCCAAAAAGACAAAAGCCAATAAACATGAAAAGCTGCTCAACATCATTAATTAGTGGGGAAATGCAAATCAAAATGAGCTCATACTACTAGGATAACTATGGGATTAAATTATTTAAAACCAAATGTTGATGAGGCTATGTGGAATTGGTCCTTGTGCATTGCTGGTAAGAATGTAAAATGGCACATACAAATGTGGAAACCAGTTTGGTGGTTTCTCAAAAATTAGAATTGTGGGCCTCCTGTGGCAGATGGGTTAAAATCCCAGTGCTATCAAGCTATCACCAGCCACTATGGCACAAGTTCGATTCCCAGCTGACCCATATGGCGCACACCTCTCCTGCCTCGCCCACTGCTCCCCTCACTGATGTATTTCAGTAGATCTGCCTGATCTGCTCCCCACTTCACCTCTGGTGAGTCCTCTCAATCCCCACACCTCTAACCTACACCCTAGTTCTTGTATGCATTAGTAAATACAAATAAATCTTTTTTAAAAATTAGAATTGCTCTTGATATAAACCTGCAATTCCACTTTTGGGTATTTATTTTTCCTCCCAACAATAAAACAGGATGCCAAAGAGATGTTTGTGCCCCCATGTTCATAGCAACCTGACAGTAACCAAAGGCTGAAACAGTGCATGTGTTCATCAGCAGGTGAGTGGATAAAATGCTACACAAATACAAGAGAGTATTATTCAGCTATAAAAGGCATGAAGTTCTGACGCACGTGCCAATGTAGATGAATTTGGAAAACATGCCAAATCAAATAAAAGCCAGACATAAAATGATAAACGTGTTATGTGACATGGCAACATACATTAGAACAGATGTTAGCAGCTACAGAGGAGGGTACTGTTAACAAACAGCTGGAGTTGATGAAAAGGTTCTGTAAATGAATGGTGATGGTTGCACAACATTGTGAATATACTTAATGTCACTAAATGATATGCTTTAAAATAGCTAAATTGGTAAGTTGTATGCATATTTTACCATAATAAAAATACTTGATAAATATTAACCCACGTATTAAGTGACCCTAAAGCAGGACACATACAAAGCACAAACTACTGGAAACCAAAGCCACATTAGCAACAAACAGAAAATAAAGCTCAGTAACAGACAAAATAAACCCTAGAAATCAGACTGCAGAACTGAGGTTATCAGAGGAAAAAGCTATCAGGCCCTTAGGGAGCACCAGTGGACTGTGTGAAGGATTACTGGTACACTATGGTGGGTGTTGTGTGATTAAATATCTAAGGTGTGGCATATGTCTCTAAAATACAATGGTGCATACCAAATGTTACCTCAATTAAAAAAAAAAAAAACAATGAAAAAGCATGTACCATTTATAAAAGTATTCAAATCATCCAGGAATAAATCCAATGAAAACTAAAGTCTGCATGAAAACTCAAGCACTGCTTACACAGTGTAGATGACATGAATGACAATTCTTCCTCCTTCTAAGCAAGCATGGTGAGGTGTTCACATGTCACCTTTTACTAAATATGTAAGCTGCATCTTTATTAAAAGTGCTTATATTTAAAATTTATCTGTGTCTGAAAACCACTCAGACATCTTTCACTAATTCATACTACTAAAAAAATGACTTAATAGTCTATCAGCAAATATTTATGGTCTCATCTCTGAAGATGTTTCATCTATCTAGAACTCAGGGGAAATTAAATTATACAAGAATAGGCCCTCCCTGGTGGCTCAGCGGGTTAAAGCACAGCACTGAGAAGCTGAAGCCACTTCCCCATGAGTTCGATTCCCGCCTGCCCCGGAGGTGACCACATGGCGTGGCAGACCTCTCCTGACCCGCCCGCTGCTCCCCTCAGCAGTGTGCTTCGTCGATCTGCCTGTTCTGCTCCCCACACTGTCTCTGGTGAAGCCTCTCACTGCCCCTGAGCCTCTGGCCTGTACCCAGTTCTGTATGCACAAATAAATAAATCTTTAAAAAAAAATTATACAAGAATAGTCCTCTAAAATATACCCAGATATACCTTGTATCTGGGTTGTCTCTGAAACTTCCAGAGATTCCAAAGAGTGCAGGGTGAGAAGCAATTCCTGATCGACTGTAGTCAGCTCATATTTGACTAAGGAGCACTTGGTGAAAGAGTCCTTACACTGCTCAAGAGCTGGGCGAATGCTTTCAATGAAGCCCCTGCTGCGGCTTAAATAGAGCTCAATGTGCTGTGAAACTGAGAAAACTTCCATTAAAAGCTCCACCATCTCCTGATCCACAGCATTGGTGTCAGTCACATGAACTTCTAGAAGGGGAATCTTGTGCTGCTTTGGAAAATGTTTCCAATAGCCAGTGCAGGTATCTAGTGGTGCACCTGAATACATGTTCAGAAATCTCTCCACATCTTCCTTTTCTTGAGCTGAATTCTGTGTCCACTCACTCCTAGATACAAAGACAGAAGCATAGTCTTCATCTATAGTTGGTGCCTGTGATTTGTCCATACAGCTTTCCAGGATTGAAAAATCCGGTATGTCTAACCTTGTATTTCCTCTTATGGAGACCTGGATACTCTTCAATAATAACAAGCTTTCTGGGTGGTCATAAAAATACTGTAATTTAAGTTCATCTAAAGTGAGGGTTTTCCCTTGAAGAAATTGAAAAATAAATGGAGAACATGCAGCAACAGTGTTGCTTTGATAAGCAATTTTTATGGCAATAGCCAGTATTTGTTTTGAAGCAAATGAAAAGTAAATTTGTGGGAAGAATTGATACCATAGCCTAATAATATTCGTCATTGCTGAAATTTCCTGCTGATGCCTCAGATCATCATTATTTTCAGATATATTCTCCAGTGACTCTGTATTATCCAACATATGAAGCAAATGAGATACAATTTTTGGTGCTGCCTTTGTTGAAGAGAAGCAGGAGACATAGTTCAAAAAATTATTATCATGACTTTTAATCATTATGGATGACTTAATTTGTTTCAAGTAATAAAGTCCCAAATCTTGATCTTCTTGCCTATCTGAATCAAGGAGTTCAACCAACCGCATTGCAGCAAGAAATTCTTGGAATGCATGATTTAAAAACTGATAGACAGGTCTCAGCCTTTGGGCTGTGAATTTACTCATCAGGTACATGGCTCTATCTTCATCAATCCCTGCTTCATTAAGATCATCCTCATTAAATGCAAAACAAGATGCCATAAACCCTTTCAAGGCCAGCTCACCACAGGCAGACACAGTTTTTTTGAAGTCAGCTGTACTTTTGTGTTTGAAGGAAAGGCATTCCATGTAGGACTTGAACACCAGCACATCAAAGGACTGGTCAAAAGAATCCTCAAACACAGTACTGAGTACTGCCACAAAGAGAGGTGTTCTGTGAATGCCCATCAAACTTAAATTCACCTTAAAATAAATCATAAATTTTCGCAGGTAGGTTATACTATGTGGAAAGAGTGTCCGTAATATAGAGACTGTATTATAAAAGGGAAATACTTTAATCTCTAGGATAGTATCTAGGTATCGGCAGATGTCCCTGCCCCTGCTTGTATGGACAGCAACTAATAAGCAGGTTTTTGATGAGTGGTTTTTTTTAATCAGTTTTTCTATGACTTGTGGAATTGAGCACATTTCTTTGTAGTCATCCAGAAGGAATAACACCTGACTCTTTAACTGCTGAATGATGTTCCTCAGGCATATTTCAGCAACAGCTCCTTCCTTCCCTAGGAGCTGGTCACAAATGATGTCCATCAGCCCCTGCTCCCGTTGAGTAGAGCTAAGGGAGAGATAGAAGACCAGCTGGAACCTATTTAACAAGGGACAGCATCCTGCTGCCCAGAGAAGAGCTATTTTCTTCAAAAGGACCGTCTTTCCACTGCTTGCTTCACCCTCCACACACATGACAGTGTTCATGTTGGCAAAGACCTCAGGCAGCACCACAGGTTCTTGCACATGACTGGTGATGTGTCTTGAAGCAAGGGACAGATCACAACCCAGCAACTCATTGGTGGAGAGACAGGAGAAGCCATCAAGCAAAGACGTGGAGTAGAAACTGGCCCTGGTATATGCTTGTCTCAGGTGCTCACTCAGACGCTTTGCCTCCTGAAGCCACTGACTTTCAGCCCGGACCATCTCTGGAGAGCAGAAAAGGAGGCATAATTACCAAAATGACTTTGTAAAGTGCCCTACACAGAAATACATGTGCATACCTATATAATCCCTTATGCATCACCAAGATCCTTACCTGGTGCTGTAATACTATCTGCTGCTGGATCTTCAAGACCGCTTTCACTGGTATTATCCTTTAAAAAGAAAATCTTCTATAATCAAAATTTACATAAGAAACTGTGTCATCATGGCACAAATTATCATTAGATGCAGCTTCTAAGCCTTGTTGTTAATGACATTTAATTTTACATACCTAGCATGTAAGAAGGTCATGTTAATCTCCTTAAAAAATAAGTTATTGGGCCTCCCTGGTGGCGCAGCGGGTTAAAGCACAGCATTAAGACGCTAAAGCCACTTCCGCATGAGTTCGATTCCCGCCTGCCGCCTGCCCAGGAGGTGACCACATGGCGTGGCAGACCTCTCCTGACCCGCCCGCTGCTCCCCTCAGCAGTGTACTTCGTCGATCTGCCTCTTCTGCTCTTCTGCAGGGTACTTTGTTTTTTCTTGGTGGGATGGCAAACAATATACCTACTTACAGTAGGGTGGGTAGGTGTTAAATTGAGAGTGACATGTATCCCATAAAAATACAAAGAATTTCTCAGTTTAAAGAGGCTCATTTGAATATATTTCTTTGGTTTGTAAAAGAAATGTATCTTCTCAACCCTGAGAAAGGCCAGCAACAAGTCAACCCTTTCTGTCCTCCAAATGAAGGTCACAATGGAATCCAGGAAAACTGGGTGGTAATTAACTCTAAGTCTAAAAGAATCTGGGCTCCACAGTAACAGGGATTTGCTCTATACTACAGGATAATAGGTACTCCTTGCTTATTCTAGTATTCCTATTTAAATCTTACAGATGACAGGTACTTAATTGATACTTGTAGACCTGTTTTTCTGATTACTCATTTATGATGTGCAAATCCTGTTCAAAAACAACTTTCAATCACATGATCATATAATGCTAACTTAAAGTGTTGTTTTTCATTACCATTAATTCAGAAAGTTCACCATCACTCTGAAGGTGTGGAATCACTTCTGTAGAGGACTTCATATTTTGGAGAAACAGACAACTAACAAAAGATAAAAGAATAATTGTATTCAATTACACATTTGTATTTTTTAAAAAGGCTTTAATGGCAAAAGTTTATAGAAGTACTAATTCTAGTGTTTTTCACTGTCTTGTGATGATCAAACAAGACATTTAAATGGTAGCTCTCAACAACAGAAATGTAAATGATTTATAAAGTGTGGATAACCAGTAAATTTGGTGGAATTAGTGCTTTTTTAATATCCATGACCAACTAAAATGAACCTAAATAATCAAAAGTAGTGAAGAAAATGCCATCTGTGGATTCTTGAACCCAAAAAAAGTACTTTACAAAAACTGTTCAAACCCGAATAAAGTTGGAAATGACAGCAATATACCATATCTTAATTAATGCCTTAATTTTGGCAAATGCCGCATGGTAATGTGGGATGTTAGTTTTAAGGGAAGCTAGGTGTGAGAGTATAGAATTCCTCTGTATTATGTTAGCATCTTTTCTCTAATATTATTCCAAAAAAAAGATTAATGTTTTTCAATTTCATCAATATTAAGACTAAAGAGGAACCTCGAGTATATTCTCTTAAAACTCTTTGCCAGATGTCCTAAAACTGAGACATAAATACCTTGTAAACTAATGCCTGTCATCTGGCTGAAGAACTGAGGGAGGAATTCTAAAGAGCTCTACCTATAATGATTGACATGGGCAGAAAATAAATATGAGTAGATCAATGGGAAAATGAGAACCAGTCAACTTTTCTGAGCTCATAATTGTGCTACAGAATAATGGAAATAAACAGAACATTTCAAATTTTTTGTTTTCCTAGATGACCTGGAGGAATCCAGATTAGTTACAGGAAGACAGCAATTAGGAATTCTAATGATACTGTTCAAGGTCACTGGGCCCATAGACCCATGAAGGAAAAGGACTCTGAAGTAAGAAAAAGTACAAATTGTTTCATTTAAAATGTATGCAGTTAATTGCCATCAGACTTGCACCACAAGAAAAGTTAAAAGAATTCTGAAGTTAAAAGGAACAGGGCCCTCCCTGTTAGTGCAGTGGGTTAAAGTGCTGGCTTGCTGGCCGTGACCACCTAGGTGTGAGTTCCATCCCCCCCCTGGAGGTGACCCACATGGCATAGCGGACCTTTCCTGTCTCGCCTGCTGCTCCCCTCAGCAGTGCACCACATCAATCTGCCTGTTCTGCTCCCCACTCTGACTTTGGTGAATTCTCTCACTGCGTCTGGCCTGTACCCCAGTTCTGTATGCATAAATAAATAAATCTTAAAAAAAAAAAAGGAAAATAACAGAAGGACACTTGGTCCTATCCACAGACATAGGGTGCCAGGGACAGAAATTAAGTGGGAAAATAGAGATAATGTTTTCTCTTTTTTAAAAGCACTTAAAGATAATTGTTAAAGTGGGCCTCCCTGGTGGCCTAGGGGTCAAGGCTCAACACTATCACCACTACAGCCTGAGATCTATCCCCAACCAGGGAGCTAACTCATATATATAATACAGGAGACCACTCAGTCTTGACTGCTGCTCCCCTCAGCAGTGTATTTCAGTAAATCTGCCTGTGCTTGTCTCCACTCTGTCTCTGGTGAGTATTCTCACCCCCTGCACCTCTGGCCTATATCCCAGTTCATATATATAAAAAATAAATAAAGGATGATTTTTAAAAATAACAAAATAAAAATAATTGTTAAATATATAGCACTATTTTATGAGAAAAATAATATATGTGGAAGTAAAACACATGAAAAGGATAACATAGGATAGTAGAGGAGAAATAAAAGTATACTGTTATATTGTTCATACATTATTATTTGAAGGTAACTAAAACATTAAATACACATTGTAAATTCTGGAGCAGGCACTGAAAAAAACAAAAATGTAAAGCTAGTAAGCCAACAGAAGAAATAAAATGGAGTAAAAATCACACAATTCAAAGAAGTCAGGAAAACAAAGAGAAATAGAAGATGGGATTAAAAAACCAATGGTAAATTAATAAAAATATTTAATGAATGAAAGCTGTTGATAGAGAATTTATGATCTTGATTTAAATTTTTAAAAAAGATTTATTTATTTATGCATGCAGAAGTGGGGTACAGGCCAGAGGTGCAGGACGGTGAGAGGACCCACCAGAGACAGAGTGGGGAGCAAAACAGGCAGAGTGAGTGAAATACACTGCTGAGGGGAGCAGTGGGCAGGTCAGGAGAGGTCTGCGGTGCCATGTGGGTCACCTCCCTGGCCGGGGATTCAATTTATGCTACAGTGGCTGTGATAGCTTTATAGTGCTGTGCTTTAACTCACTGTGTCACCAGAGAAGGACCTTGGTTTAAATTGTATACACTGATTACCTATTTTTCCTGTCTACTGTTATCGACTAATCTGCTTTGGGATTGAGAGTCCCAAGGTCTTCTTGGATTGACTCAGGAAGGCATTGTATAAATATACAAATGTAGATCCAGAGACCTATGAGCGCCAGACTTTACTAAAGGATTGATTTATGCTACAGGCAACCCCTGATATAGGTCATAAAACTGTAACTGTTTGAATCATCTCTTTCTATATTTTATCCTGAATAAATATTACTTATTTTACAATTGCCTTCTAAATCCATCTGTAAATATTTTCAGCTTATTTAAATGAGTAAAAGAGAAATTCATGAGTTTAAAGTCTAGCCATATTAATAATAACATTAAATGTACATGTTATTATCATCCCCATAGAAAACAGGGGGCTCCCTGCTGGTGCAAGGAGTTAAGTCACAGACTGTGAAACTATCCACAGCCACTGCAGCATGAGTTTGATCCCTGGCCAGGGAGGTGACCCACATGGCACCGCAGACCTCTCCTGCCGTGTCCACTGCTCTGTTCAGCAGTGTTATGTCAGTGATCTGCCTGTTCTATTCCCCACTCTGTCTCTGGTGAATCTTCTCACCACCCCTGCACCTATGGCCTGTGCCCCAATTCTGTATGTATAAAAAAATAAATCTTAAAAAAAAAAAAAGCAGAGTGGCTATATAAATATTAATTAAAAAGTACATCATACTATAAGTGATAAAATTATGAATATTGTAAGGGATACCACCAAAAATAATAAAAAAATATTTCAAATATTCTCTTATATAAAGAAAAAAGGCCAGGAATAGCTAAGCTGCTTTCCTGAAGGAAAAGAATAAGGAAACTGTATGGGAAATATGCTTAATATTAGTATGTAAACTAAAAAAAATTAAAATTTGGACACTACCAAGTTAGTGAGAAAGTAAACCAATGGAAACTCTATTACTATAATGGAAATATATTCTAGTGAGCATGTCAATCAGTGCCACATGTTGAAAAATGTTATGCACTCTTGTAAAGTTGAGTATGTGCACATGCATTAACTGAAAATCCATGGTTTGTTGTACAGCCTAAAGAAATACACATGCAACTGGAAAATATGTACAAAAATGTTCATCATAGTGGCATTATTTGAATATGCAATACTTGAAATCAACTCATGTTGAATCAACATTAATGGAAAAATTGTATGTTCATAAAATATTCTGTATAGCAGTGAAAACAAGTGGACTACAAATATATACATAACCATGGATGAATCTTAAAGTGGAGCAAGACAAGACATCATGAAGTGGCATGCAGAGCTCTTCTCTTTATTTACATTCAAGAACAGACAAAATTAAATGTGTATAAAGATACATGGTATATGACAAAACCATTAACCACTCACTTTGGAAAATATTTGGTATGGTCTTCTAATGGGCCATCACCTTCTTTCCACTTCATATATCCTCCGCAGGAAAAGCACTGAAGTTTGTCCTTTACTCCTACAGGTAAGGAAATCTGATCAGTATGACTTGCATGTGTATACCTTAATGTTTGGGGTAGGAACCACCATGACTTTTTTAGCAAAACCCTCTTTCATTTCTAATTAGATTTTGTGGCAAAAGTCACAAGATGTGTTACCAGCAATATTCCTCTTAGACCTTCTCCAATCAATGGGGTGATGAGCAGTCACTGATGGTGCCTAAGTCCCAGCAGTTGATGAGACCTTTCTCCCTTTAGTCCTGTTTTCCTGCCATGGAGATAGAGCTTTGCAAATCAGAATGTGGAAATGAAGCTCAATAAAGGAAAAGAATTTTGTCTGTTTTGCTCACTAGTGAATCTCATGGACTTTGAAGAGTACCTAGTATTTATTAGACCCTCAATAAATATTTATGTAATGAATAAATCAGAAATATATTTGAAACTCAAAAAATGTGTAGCAATCTTCACATGAGCTCATGAAGAATCAAATGCCTTTTACTACGTTATTCTCAGAACTGGAGTCAAGTCTCCTCTGAGTCTATTTCTCTGCAATGAAATAGGCATTTGGATCTGCCAAAGGATGGAATTAGAAAGTACTCTCCTTGGTCACCATTCCATGTGTGGAGGATCACCATTCCCTGTAAGCACCGCAAAACAAGAACAAAGGAAAACCTTCCATTGTGTCTGGCCAAAATTATGAGGTCCTAGAGTGTGCAAGACTGGAAGAAGGTGAAAGACTACTAGGATTTGTGGTTAGAGGTGGAGATTCAAAGAGAAAGAGGCTGAAGCCACCAAAGAGAGGGTCCACAAAGAACATAAGCAAATGGCAGGCAAAACAGAGAGCAGGGAGAACACTGGCTTTCTAAATACTTTAGATTGTGTGGCATTACACATGTTTTTTGTACTTGTCTGTTAATGTGACCATTACTTTGCTCTACTCTTTACTGTTCCATGAAATCTGCTTGACCTCTCAGGGAAAGATCTGCATGAACCTGCACTGTAGTTCAGTGTTCAATCTAGAGGTAAACAAAGTACCTAGAAAGGCACGACATTGTTTCTCTGATCACCTTGGGTAGAGATTTAGCTAAAGGAATCCAGCACAGTATGTATTAGAATTGAACTTCCTGATATCTGCAACTAAAGGGAGAATACTGTGAACCGCTGAAAATCCTGTTTAGGAATCAAAGAAGAATTTCCCGGTTTGTTAGAGACTTGGTCTTGCAGGTTTGTTTTCTTTTTCTTGCCCACCCAAGGCCTCTCTTGCAACCATGCTCTGTCTGATACTCAGTCAGACCAAGAAGCATCCTAGCTTGAGCCCACTCTGAATTTATTGCAGCTAAAGACCCTGGACCAGCACTTTATGTCATACAGGTGGCTTTGTTCACTTCAGATGTCATGGGGCAGAAAAAATAACCCAGGACCCTGAAACAAACTGGGTGCCAGTTATTATTACAAGTTCTAAGTGAATAGAGATTATAGCAAGAGGACAAAGGAAGGTTGTATTTCTGAATAAAATATTTCACGATAAAGCAGCTTAAAATTATGGGCTTCTAGAAGCCATCCACACAATTTTCCACTTACCAGAAAATATTTTCCCTATAGATGCACACAAAATCATATCAGTGTATTGTGTTTGGTTTACACTGATAAGTAAATATATGAAACTTAAAAAAAAATAATTTGCTGAACATGATGGAGCAGGAAAGGATTAAGCTCAGTGAAATAAGCCAGAAGAAAAAAGAAAAATGTCAGATGATTTCACTTATAGAAGGAATGTAGAACAACCAAATAAGGGACCAGGAAAAACAGTAATTATAATAAATTTAAAAACAAAATTAACAGGCAACTACTAATCAGAGACACTCTGCAGGGAAAGGTGCGGGAAAAGGATCAAAAGAGGGGGGAATATGTTCTTACACAAGGGACTGTGGTGATGCGTACGGGTAAATTGGTGTTGGAAATTTTTTGGTGACTATACCTGAGAGGAGAAAGTATGCATTGTACAAAAAGGAAGAATGATGTAGTGTATACACACACACACACACACACACATATAATTAAATTAAATAGAAAACTAATTTGTTGGCTTTCGCTTTCAAAGATAATGTGACAAAGTATGCTACTATCTACATTCCCAGTATCTCTCATTCTTCCATAGTAACAGAAGCTCTAATTTTTTATTTTATTATATATATATACATATACACACACATATATATTTTTTTATATCATTCTTCATTTTGCAGTTTTTCATCTCAGTTGTAATCCCCATGAACTTCCCACCACCAATTCACCCATGTGCCATTACCAGAGTCCTATGTGAGAAGCCCCAGTTTTTAGCTTGGCATGTTGCTTTACCTTACAGGAAAAAGCTTAAAGATCTCAGCTTCTTTCTATCTGATTACTAAGTTTGTATTAAAGACAGGGAGCAGAGTGTCAGTTTCTAGGAGAAGACTGAAGAGGAGAGTAATGTGTAGGATGTGAAAGAAATGACAAAATTATCCCAAAAAGAAAACTGGTATTATTTTTAGTCCAGATTTTAAGGTTTCACATTTGGAGTTTCACTACCGAAGACACATGTTAGGAAAAGTAGTTGAGAATTTATGATACAGCCAGGAAAAGGGATATAGAAGAAGAAATGACTCAAAGAATGGAGAACATTGATTCTAGATAAATAAGAGCCCGAGTACATCCACTACATGTGGGGTTACAATGGGCCGCAAGGCAAGTGCTTGGTACAAACTGCTGACTCACCTGTATAGAAAAGACCTGCTTTGGCCAGAGCTGCCACTCCCATAGGGGATGCCTGGGGCCAGTTCTTAAAAGAGTCCAGTCGTAGTTCTTCATTAGCAAAGATGCTGTCATTGCAATAACCTTGAATAAGAGGTATATGGGGAGATCAGCAAGCTTAATATTGAAAGTACTGGTGTTAAAGTTATCTCTCCCTATTTACAGATAAAATGATGTAATATATGGATATTGTTTCAATATGTTTTATGGACAAGGAATTAGAAGAAAAGTATAGATGCAGCAAGACAGCCTGTGTCAGAAATGCTGAACAGAGTGGTACTTCGATGGTAGGTATCTATTAAATTGACTCATTTCTAGTATGTTCATTTTTCTTAAAGATTTATTTTAGTTATTTATGCATAAAAGAGCTGGGTGCAGGTCAGAGGTACAGGGGCGGGGGTAAGAGAATTCACCAGACAGAGTGGGGAGCAGAACAGGCAGATCTACTGAAATACACTGTTAAGGGGAGCAGCAGGCAAGACAAGAGAGGTCTGCTGTGCCATGTGGGTCAGCTCCCTGGCCAGACATCAGTGGCTGCAAACAGCTTCACAGTGCCAAGAGTTAGCCCCTTGTAACACCAAGGAGGCCCTGTTCATTTTTTCTGTAAGAAAACATTTTTTTAAAATCTCATCTTCATGGCCCTCCCTGGTGGTGCAGTGGGTTAAAGCACAGCACTGAGAATCTAAAGCCGCTTCCACATGAGTTCGATTCCCGCCTGCCCCGGAGGTGACCACATGGTGTGGCAGACCTCTCCTGACCCGCCCGCTGCTCCCCTCAGCAGTGTACTTCGTCGATCTGCCTGTTCTGCTCCCCACTCTGTCTCTGGTGAACTCTCTCACCCTCCGCATCTCTGGCCTGTACCCCAGTTCTGTATGAATAAATAAATCTTAAAAAAAAAAAATCTCATCTTCATAAAAATAAACTGTTATAAAAAAAAGTTGTAAGAATAAAGGTATATTAAAAAAAAAAGAAAAAAAATCTCATCTTCATTTAGTATCAAAATAAAACAAGGAAAGGTAATAAAGATCCCCCTCCTCGCCAGGTTAGTGTCAAGATTTGAGAAAGGCAATATCCAGATAGCATTCTAAACATTAAACAAATGTATTCCCTGCACTTTGGGTGTCCACCTTATGTGGTCATCTTCTGGGCCTCTTACATTGGCCTGACTAGAGATTTGGTTCTCGTCTTCTATGTGGGTAAGAATTCAAACCTAATTAACGTTAACTTGATTCCGCAAATTATGTATCTGAAATGAAAGTCTGGCTCAGTGTCCCACTTACCCTGGGGTTTTCTGCTGTCACTACATTACAAATCTGAATATGTCTGAGTTATTACCTGGTGCCATAGGTAAATCTCTCTTGACCCAGGAATTCACAAAATGGTCTCCCTAAGGAATATTCAGATTCAAGTTAAAATTCAAGTTATCAACTGTTTGGTTTATAAAGTTTGTAACTATCTGCGAATAAAAAACTCATTTCCCACAAGTGAGGAGTCTTATTGAATTGAGTGGTATTATGTTAAAAAATCCCTCCCTTAATAGTTTTTAAAGATTTTTATTTATTCATACAAGAACTGGGGTATAGGCCAGAGGTATGGGATGGGGATGGTAAAAAAAAAAAGTCACCAGAGACAGTGGGGAGCAGGACAGGTGGATCTATTGAAATACACTGCTGAGGGGAGCAGCAGAGAGGTCTTCTGTGCCATGTGGGTCACCTCTCTGGCCAGAGATCAAACTCATGCTGCAGTGGCTGGTGATAGCTTGATAGTGCTGAGATTTTAACCTGTACCTCCACAGAGGCCCTCCCTTAATTTTTATGTCTTTAATGTTGGCATTTTAAATGCAGTACAAAAGAAAAACAAGCCTGGGAATGTTTACTTATACCCACTAGGAAACTTCAGGTTACTTTTTTTTTAAAATCCAACTTAAAAGTAAAGTTACTTTTAATTTTTTTAATAATATACTGTAATTAATACGGAACTATGAAATAACAGGAAGGAAACTGGACTCAGAAGTGGGTTTGGTATTAAGCAATGGACCTTCCCTGATCATTACACCCCAACTTCTTTCTGAGAAAACACACATCCCCCCACCTCTGGCCATGTTCTCTGCAGGCTTCTCATATGAGACACACATTAGTCAATCAACTCTCTTCATCACTTAAGGCAATTTGGGTTGGGTTTTCTGTCCTTAAAACTAGGGAATTACCTTTTACCAGTATCAAGTACCCACTGATAGGGCATAAAGTAACCCAGAAGCTGATAGCAGCTTTGAGACCTACTGTGGACAGTTAGATAAAGGTCAGAGTATCTCACACAGGCATTCAAAGGTGGGAGCCAAGGGAAGCCAGGGAGGGGCTTCTGCCAAAGGCCTGGAGGCCATCAGGTCAGATGGAACCCACAAAAAGGCACCTCTGGAAGAGGCAACCAACTCTATGGGCTCCAATGTAGGAAAAGAGCATGCTCTTCTTCACTGCCCGATGAGTTGTAGGGAAATGAAAGGAGGAAAAAACAGACCCTGAAGAATCTGCCCCTTCTAATTCAGATATTACTGGATTATCAAAAGCCAATCTGAGAAAAACAACTATTGTTATAAATTACCGTGATGCCAACAAATCCTTTGTAGCTCTCAATATACTGGGAAATTTCTTCTGAAGATTTCTTACTTTGAAGAAACTCACACCTATGATTAATAAATAAAGTTTACAGATACTGTGATAAAAATCCTGATCTATTAATGTTAGGATGATTACACAGAACATTCATTAAATTTATTTCTGTATAGTTAAAATTGCTAATTTTATTATACTTTGATAAAACTGTCCAAAAATTATCCCAGAAGTTATTTATGAGAATTATCATTGTTCCCATCAAATTGTTTATTTCCATTAGTGAGAACATCTACAATTAATTTATACTATCAGTAATAGTTTTAAATTAAAATTTCAGATTTGCTTCTCTCTTGAAACAAAATATGTAATACAATCAAAAAACCTGATTTACAAAAAAAAAACATGTAAGGTGTAGGGCCCTCCCTGGTGGTGCAATGAGTTAAAGCACAGCACTATGAAGCTACCACAGCCACTGCAGCCCAAGTTCGATCCCCAGCCAGGGGTGCGACCCACAGAGAGGTCTGTGGCAGATGTCTCCTCACCCACCTGCTGCTCCCTTCAGCAGTGTATTTAAGTACATCTGCCTGTTCTGCTCCCCACTCTATCTTTGGTGAATCCTCTCAAACCTGTACCTCTGGCCTATACCCA